TCCTGCAGAGTGCAGTGGCTCATGCCTGTCATCCCAGCACTTTGGGAGGCCGAGGCGAGTGGCCTGCCTGCACCCAAGGGTTCCACGAGACCAGCCTGGGCAACTTGGCAAGACCTCATCTCCAATAGTAAATACACTAGCCAGGCACGGTGGCACACGCCGCTAGTTCTGGCCACTTGGAAGGCTGAGATGGAAGGATCACCACAGCCCAGCAGGTCGAGGCTGCGGTGGCTAGGAGGGTGCCACTGCCCTCTAGTCTGGGTGACGGAGTGAGACTCCAACTCAAAAAAAGAAAAAGAAAATATGGTGTCCTTTCTGAGCTAAGAGGGCAATTTCAGGGACTTTCTACTCAAACAAGCCCTGTGATTTTCTCCAACTCCCTACTAGGGAGATAATTTACCTTTTTCTTTTCTCTTAGAATCCACTTCCAGAGAGATTATTTTTCTCTTATATTGATGTAACCCAGTGGTTCCAAAATGCCCCTATTAGAATTAACTGTGAACTTAAGCTGCCTCTGCTCCTATCAAACCCACGCCCAGCAAACCAGCGTGGCTGGAGTGGGAGCCCAGGCAGCTGGATTTTTTTTTTTTGAGTTGGAGTCTCCTGTCTTGGGCTGGAGTGCAGTGGCACACTCAAGACCACCCCAGCATCAACCTGCTGGGCTCAGGCAATCCTTCTGCCTTGGCCTTCCAAGTAGCCGAAACTACAGGCGTGTGCTACCACACCCCGCTCATTTTTTAAAATTATTTATTGTAGAGACAAGGTCTCCCAAGTTGCCAGGGCTGGTCTCGAACCCACGGGCTTAGGCCATCCACTCGCCTCGGCCTCCCAAAATGCTGGGATTACAGTCTGAGCAACCGGGCCTGGCCTTTTTTTTTTTTTTTAAAAAAAAGATGCCCCAGGTAGGCTGGGCACTTTGGGAGGTGGAAGCAAGAGGATTGCCTGAGCCTGGGAGTTCGAGACCAGCCTGGGCAACTTGGCGAGATCTCTTCTCTACAATAAACCAAAACAATAGCCGGGCATGGTGGCACATGCCTGTAGTCCCAGCTACTCGGGAGGCTGAAGCAGGCTCCATGAGCAGAAGACATACAACTGGAGGAAGTTCTCTGGGGAAAAGAAGGTAACAGAGGCGGTAGAGACTATCAGTGCCAAGCAGCTCTGTCACAGCAAGTAAAGAAAGGTGAAACAGGCTAGGTTCAGTGGCTCAGCCTGTCATCCCAGCACTTTGGGAGGCCAAGGCGAGCGATTGCCTGAGTCCGCGGGCTCGAGACCCGGCCGGGCAACTTGGCGAGACCTCGTCTCTACAATAAAATTAAAAATAGCCAGGCATGGTAGCGCTCATCAGTAGTTCCAGTACTTGGAAGGCTGAGGCGGAAGGATCGCTGGAGTCCAGCAGGTGGAGGCTGCAGTGACCTGAAGCATGCCGCTGCACTCCAGTCTGGGTGAAGGAGTGGGACTCCAACAACAACGAAAAAAAAAGCCTAAAAGTGAAAACATTCGGCTGGGCATGGTGGCTCACACCTATAATCCCAGCACTTTGGGAGGCTGAAGTGGGAGGATTGCCTGAGCCCACGGGTTTGAGACCAGCCTTCGGATCTTGGTGAGACCTCACCTCTACAAAAAATAAAAAAATTAGCCAGGCATGGTGGCATGTTCCCGTAGTTCTTGGAAGGCTGAGGCAGAAGGATCACCTGAACCCAGGAGGTCGAGGCTACGGTGGCCGTGAGTGTGCCACTGTACTCCAGCCTGGATGACAGAGCGAGACTCCAAGCCAAAAAAAAAAAAAAAAAAGAAAGGTGAAATACATACACTAAGATTCAAAACTTGAGTCCCAGCAGCAACAAACTTGGCACAGAAGACCATACATCCTAAAATGTCAATGCAAAATGTGGACTGTCACTCAACACTTGCGATAAACTTAAGCCATCCCTCCTTGCAGTCACATCTGCTCTTTTTAGTTGGGTGACTGCTGCCTGCTGAGTTAGCCCAGCTCTTCACCTGATCCTGGAACTGTCCAAACCTGATAACAAGATACAGACTGAATGCTGCTCCCTCGATTTCGTTTTCCATCATTCAGAGATGAAGGGTCTCACCCCCCTCCCATTTTTTGAGTGGGAGTCTCACTCGGTCGCCCAGCCTGGAGTGCAGTGGCACACTCACAGGCACTGCAGCCTAGACCTGCTGGGCTCAGGCGATCCTTCTGCCTCAGCCTTCCAAGTAGCTGGAACTACAGGCATGCGCCACTACATCTGGCCAATGCAAAGACGAGGTCTCACCAAGTTGCCTGGGCTGGTCTCGAACCCCTGGGCCCAGGCAATACTCCTGCCTCGGCCTCCCAAAGTGCTGGGATCACCAGCTTGAGCCACCTCACTCAGCCTTACTTCTTTGTGGAGACAAGGTCCCACCAAGTTGCCCAGGCTGGTCTCGAACCCCTGGGCTCTGGTAATCCTCTTGCCTCAGCCTCCCAAATTGCTGGGATTACAGGCTTGAGCCACCGTGTTATCCTTCATGATTTCTTGCTGTAGTCTTTGGACCACTGTAACAGTTGAGGATTGAGATTGCTTAAAAGTTGACCACTTGTGTTCTCCCATCTTCTGTGTCACTGTGTCCAATTATTATTTAGAATCACCAATGAGGCTGCAATTGCAAAAGGCTTGAACTGCTTCCTATGACTACTTTTACATGCATCCTAAATCCCTGATATGGACCTGATTACTTAAAGCAGTTCTTACTCAACGTATCTCGTATTAGCTCCATTTCCAGCCCAAGGGAAGCAGTTCATAACCTGCCTGCATCCCGCAGGTCCCACGAATACCTGTGAGCGGTGGCTGGTGAATCAAGACCATCACAGACCTGCCGGTTGCGGAGGCGTCACCGCATGGCTGTCCGTGGCTGTCCAGCTTCTTGACTCCCCTTCAGAGCTGACTGCCCGCGCTGCTTCCACCCCCTAAGTACGGATTCTGACCTCATCTCACTGATCAGCTTACGCGCCCTTAGCCCGACCCCACACTCCCAACTTCCCGACACCGCCCGCTACACGTTGTTACCCCATTCTAAGACGGGGAGATTAACCAGTCAAATGTTTACTGCAAGACTCTTTCCAACAAATAGTGCTGGGTAAGCCGGGCTCGGTGGCTCAGCCTGTAATCGCGCCTTGGGAGGCTGAGGTGAGTGGACTGCCTGAGCCCGCGGG